AAAATTTTTTTCAAGCAATAATGATTCCAACATCAACAACAACAGGAGCACCATGATATGTGATTTTTGTAAGAAACAAGGTCACATTAAGGAGAAGTGTTACAAGCTGCATGGATATCCTCCAAGGAATAATGCTTTTAACAATAGAACAAACAATGCACAACAACAACACAGGCAAAATGACAATCAGAATTTCAGAGGAAGAAGGATTGTAGCCAATGCACATGGGGAAGAATGCTCACAAGAAAACAGTAATTCAAATGCTGTCATTACACAAGAACAGTATGGTCATATCATGAGTTTGTTGCAGCAGTTCCAAACTGATAGCTCAGGAGAGGATTCTAAAGGTAATGCTGAGCCTAGCAAGTTTGCAGGTACAATACTGTGCACTTCCTCTATTGACTTTGGTATTACTTCATGCAAATGTTCTAGATCAAGTATTGATTTATGGATCATTGACTCAGGAGCTTCAAACCATATGACATATAACAAATCTTCACTAACAAACATCCAAACATTACCCTATCCTATACTTGTTTCACTCCCTAATGGTTACAAAGTTAAAGTGACAGAGTATGGTGATGTACATATTTCATCTAAAATGGTTTTAAACAAAGTTTTACATGTTCCTTCTTTCAAGTATAATCTCATTTCAGTCAAGTCTCTAGTCTCTTCAATGAAATGCATACTTTCGTTTACTGATACAACTTGTCTATTACAGGCCCCTTCAATGAAGAGGCCTCAGGAAATTGGTAGTAGCAAGGATGGCATTTACTACATGTGTGGGAGATGCTTGAATGACACTACTCATAAATCTGATTCTGTTTGTAATTGCATATCCCATAGTTGTAGGTGTTCTTCATTTCCAGCTTCATCTTGTAACAAATCATCTGTTAAACAATCTAGAAAGGTTCCTGTAATCTTTGATAATCCTTCTACTAATAATACAGATGTATTGACAATTGTACATCTCCTGAATCTCTGAAAGATGGTGTGGATTTACTATGGCATAATAGACTTGGCCATGTACCTTTTGTGAAAATGAGAAATATACCTACTATTCCTATTAAGTTTTCTGCTAAACAGCCTTTCACATGCACCATATGTCCAATGGCAAGACAAGTCAGGTTACCATTCACCCCAAGCACAACACATTCTAAGAACCCTTTTGAACTACTTCATATTGACTTATGGGGTCCCTATCATGTCCCTACATATGACAATTACAAATATTTCATTACCTTGGTGGATGACTACAGTAGAGCTACATGGACATATTTGTTAAGCACCAAAAGCAATGCTATACAAGTCCTTCAAACCTTTGTTAACATGATAGGGAACCAGTTCCAAACAACTATAAAGTGCATCAGGTCAGATAATGGTTTAGAATTCAACAATAATGAAACACTCAAATTCTTCCAAACTAAAGGTATCACACATCAGAGAAGCTGTCCCTATACACCACAACAAAACAACATAGTAGAGAGAAAGCACAGATACCTACTTGAAACAGCTAGAGCTCTCCTCTTTCAGTCTAAATTACCTACCAAATACTGGGGTGATTGTATTCTTACATCCACCTACATCATTAATAGGCTTCCTTCCACATTCCTTCAAAACAAGTGTCCCTATGAGATGCTCTATAAAGAAAAACCAAAGTATAGTCAATTAAGGTCATTTGGATGTCTATGTTATCCCATACTACCTAAAGTTCATAGAGA